TTACTCTTTTGAACTTAATTTGATTATTTTCCTACAAGACAAATATAGCTTATATGATTATGAGTATCCAATAGGCAATCAAGTCCAAATTGTTTAGGGCGTTTTCTAGTAGTCTTTTCTTTATACTTTAGGAAAAACCTAGGATACCATTTAAGGTATTTTAGGCAAGATGTTGTAGTGTTTAAGAATCATTCTTTTCATTGTCTTAGTCATAATGTTACTACATTTTTAGGATTTCCTTCTAGGTTATGCTTAGAAAAGGAGCCTATTTCTACTTTTAGGGAGTCTAATTTTGATAGTTTATTTTTCTTTGTTAGTCTAGATAGAAGGACTCCTCTTAGGATTCATAATCCATTTTCTTACCATGAAAATTTCACCTCTTATACATTGCATGTGGTACATGTAGGTGTTGATTTTTTTTCCATGCATCCTCGATATTTGAGGACAAATCCTTTTCAAGAGGGAGGGGATGATGGAATCATGCTTAAGAAGACAAGAGGTGACATCCTAAAAGATCCAAGAGGAGTGGGCTAGACATGGAGGTTTGGGCCAGTTAAAGCCCAATGGGCCCAATGAGCTTGAAAGGCCCAAGTTAAGCTTCACATGGGCCTATCTTGATATGACCATTCTTTTTATGTTTTCTTAGTATAGTTTCCATATATTTTGGGTCTTGTATTTTGGACCACATAGAGTAGCATTTTTGGGCTTTAGGCTTATTGGGCCTAGTTTTGAGCTTCATGGGCCTTTAGGCTTTTGGTACCCAATATTGGGCTCATTTTTATTCTTGTAATTTTCCTTTTCATTATATTTGATTGACCATTGTATTTAGGCCATTAGAATAGGATTGTACAAGAATTACTTAAATAGGCAAGTTAGACTAAACTAGGTTTAATTTGAAAGTCATTTAAGTTACATTTGAGTCACATGTTTAGCACCAATGGTGGCCGAACATGTGCCACTCAAATTAACCCTAAATGATCCTCAAATTAAACTTAGATGCACCCTAGTACCTAAACTCACGGCCAAGCACATGGAAGCCAAAATTTGAATTCAAATTTCAAGTTTGAATTCAAATTTTAGGCGCCACATGTAGGCTTGGATTTAGGCGCCAATATGTGCAATTTCGGATGCCTACTTAAGTGCATATCACTCACTTTGTAATCACTTTTGATATATGAAATTTCTGAACATTTATTCAGCCAAATTTCTTCAAGAGTCACCGAGAGAGAGAGTGCCTTCAAACCCTAGGAACTTCACTTAGTTTCCTACCTTTGAAGTGAGCAATCCTTTGATGCTTAAGCTTGGATGCTTCCATCCATAGTTTAGGTCCTTTTGATCCGAGAATCTCCTTCATTCAAGTCTTCTTCATTCAGTCTTCATTCTCCAAAGAAGAGGTCCTAAGCAAAGGTGAAGTCAAGGAGGAGTTCTTCAATCATTCCTTCTAGCTTCTCCATCAGTTGTATTCTATTTGCAGTTGTGAGTGTGGAAACTGAGAAGGTGATCAATAGGTAGGAGTTGTGAGGGAATTTTTGAAGGTGTTTTTGGATGAGGTGTCTGGGTTACCTCCTATTAGGGAGATTGAGTTTAGCATTGATCTAGTCCTTGGTGTAGGGCTAATGTTGGTTGCTGCCTATAGGATAGCTCCAACAGAGTTGGTTGAATTGAAGTGTCAGGTGGAAGAGTTGAAGAGAAAGATTGACTACTTCTCCTATGTTAGTGTTGCCTGATCTTAGTGAACCATTTGAGGTGTGTTGTGTTGTTTCTCACCGAGGGTTGGGGTGTGTGTTGATGTAGAATAGGAGAGTAGTTGCATATGCTTTAAGGCAATTGAAGAATCATGATAGGAATTACCCTACTCATGACTTAGAGTTGGCAGCAGTTGTTTTGCCTTAAAGGTATGGATGCACTATTTTATAGTGCAGGGTTCAACGTCTTTGGTGATTGCAAGAGTCTAAAGTATTTTCTTGATCAGAAGGAGTTGAACACGAGACATAGACGGTGGATGGAATATTTTAAAAGACTATGAATTTCAGTTGATGTATTACCTTAGGAAGGCCAATGTAGTGGCAGACGCTTTGAGTAGGAAGTCCATCCACATGTCTAGTCTGATGGTAAAGGAGTTGGAGTTGGTTGAGAAATTCAGAGATTTGAATCTGTATGTGGAGTTGGCTCAAGACCACATTAGTTGTGGCATGATTGCCATTGCTAGTGAGTTCTTGCATCCAGTTGGTATGAAGTAGTTGTAAGATTCGAAAGTTGTGCAGGTTCTTAATTTTTTGGATACAAAGGAAGCAATTGGCTTTGAGATGGGTGAAGGTGGGATTTGAGGTTTAAGGGCAGAATTTGCCTACCTCAAGATTCTAAGTATAGAGAGATATTGTTGAATATATGGCGGCCTGTCTAACCTGTTAGAAGGCTAAGGTTGGGCACCAGAAGTATGGTGGTTTAATTGTAGATGATGGAGATTCTGTAGTTGAAGTTGGATAGTATCACTATGGATTTCATTGATGGACTGCCTAAGTCGACTACAAATAGTGATGCTATTTGAGTTGTGGTTGACAGATTGACCAAGTGTGCACATTTCTTGCCTGTCAATATCAAGTGATCCTTGGAGAAGTTGACACAGTTGTATGTGAAGGAAATAGTATAGTTGCACGGGATACCTTCTTGTATTATTTCAGATAGGGATCCAAGGTCCACTTCTAGATTTTTGGCAGAGTCTACACCAAGTCTTAGGTACGAGGTTGAGATTGGGTTCTGTTTATCATCCAGCTCGAATGGTCAGTCAGAGAGGACGATTTGGTCCTTGGAAGATTTGTTGTTTTCATATGTTTTGTATACATCATGTTAGTATAGGTATCATATATTTTGGTCTTGTATTTTGGACCACATAGAGTAGCATTTTTGGGCTTTAGGCTTATTGGGCCTAGTTTTGAGCTTCATGGGCCTTTGGGCTTTTGGTACCCAATATTGGGCTCATTTTTATTCTTGTAATTTTCCTTTTCATTATATTTGATTGACCATTGTATTTAGGCCATTAGAATAGGATTGTACAAGAATTACTTAAATAGGCAAGTTAGACTAAACTAGGTTTAATTTGAAAGTCATTTAAGTTACATTTGAGTCACATGTTTAGCACCAATGGTGGCCGAACATGTGCCACTCAAATTAACCCTAAATGATCCTCAAATTAAACTTAGATGCACCCTAGTACCTAAACTCACGGCCAAGCACATGGAAGCCAAAATTTGAATTCAAATTTCAAGTTTGAATTCAAATTTTAGGCGCCACATGTAGGCTTGGATTTAGGCGCCAATATGTGCAATTTCGGATGCCTACTTAAGTGCATATCACTCACTTTGTAATCACTTTTGATATATGAAATTTCTGAACATTTATTCAGCCAAATTTCTTCAAGAGTCACCGAGAGAGAGAGTGCCTTCAAACCCTAGGAACTTCACTTAGTTTCCTACCTTTGAAGTGAGCAATCCTTTGATGCTTAAGCTTGGATGCTTCCATCCATAGTTTAGGTCCTTTTGATCCGAGAATCTCCTTCATTCAAGTCTTCTTCATTCAGTCTTCATTCTCCAAAGAAGAGGTCCTAAGCAAAGGTGAAGTCAAGGAGGAGTTCTTCAATCATTCCTTCTAGCTTCTCCATCAGTTGTATTCTATTTGCAGTTGTGAGTGTGGAAACTGAGAAGGTGATCAATAGGTAGGAGTGTTGTTCAATTTGGAAGAGTTCCTCTTGAGAATCTTGAAATGTGATGCAAAATAGAGAGGAAAATGGATGAGTTTCACGTGTAGATTAGATGAGCCAGGTGTGATTTCATGGCCTTGATCTGGACTAATAGCATAATCATGCTTATCCATAGTACACTTATGTTGGGTAGAGTTAAATAACCACGATTGTGTTTGAAGGAATTGCTTTTGTGTAAGGAGAAAGGAAAGAACCATTGTCATGCTTATAGTAACATATTTGTACATGGTTGGGGTTGCGTGAACCATGCCCTTGCTTAGTAGATGCATACTTGTGTTGGGTTGCATTAGAGTGAAGAATGCTCGTGCTTAAATGAAGCACACCTGTGTTGTTCCTGTGCTCGTCAATATAAGTAATAATCATATTAATTTAATTAATTTAATGAAGACATTGGTTATGAGAGTGAGACCTATATAACCATGAGATTATTAAAGAGATAATAAAAAAATTAATTATTAATCAATAAGACCTTATGATTAAAATTTGGGCTTATTTGAGAACAAGAACTAGTAACGAGACAAGAAATCATGAGATGATGTTGAGTTGAGGTGTATAAGGCAAATATGAGATATAATACTTAATGATGAGAAAGCTTATGAGATGTTGATTCTTAGATGAGAATCTTTATGTGCAACATTTGAGACATTCGACATAACTATGCAACGATATTAACGCTAATACGAGGAAATCTTGGTAGGAGGATTCAAACAACACTAATGTAACTTTTATTAAGTATTACATCACTCAATAACTTTATATTAAATATAAATTTTATAAATTCAACCGTTAAATTAAAAGTTCCTTATTCTTAGATCATATATACAAAATTTTATATTAATCTAAAATGATTTAATATTTTATTCTTATAAAATAAAATTGATATAATATATTCATTT